CTGCGAAACTCGGATCAATATACCCATGAACAATTCGAGAAATTAAAATACGCTCTGCTTCTTCCTTTTCATCAATATACTCTTCTTCAATTTTTTTCTGAGTTTTGTCGATGTTTAACTGCCGAGAAAAATAATTTGGTTCTTTAAATTCAATAATCGTGCGATTATCAACAAGGGCATCAAGTCTTTTTCTTGATTTTAACTGACGTTCGAATATTCAATTAAGAGGTAAAAAAGGGCTTTGAGATTCTTCTCCCCATTTGGACAGTCTTTAAAACTGGATTTAGAGAAATGGAAACCTGATTTAATCCACGAAGATCAGGTGTTTGCAGGAAAAGCAGAAGAAAGATCTGCTCAAGTGAGAATTTCTCTTGCTCTTTTAAAGCAAGATATTGCTTTGTAAATGATTCGTGCGGTTACTGGCTTTTCCCAGAAGAAATTGAAAGCTCAAGAAGGAATCCTAATGAAGGTTCATTTACAAGCGGGAAGAAATAATAATTATATTGTTTCTTATTACTCAACGAAAAATTGATGAAATCATCAATTTCTATTATTGAAAAACTGCAACACTCACCAATTAAGGTACAGACAGAATTTGCTATCGCACAAAAGTTTACAGTAGTATTTTTACGTACGCGATTTATGTGTTTATATGTCTGTAAAACAGTGACTTTTATGTGTCCTTTACAGACTTTCTAAAGAAAATTTTCAGTTTCGAAGTTGATATTCGGAATGAAAGAAAGCTTATGCATGAATTTTGAATTTCACATACAATAATATTATATAATATATGTTAGCATGGAAGAAATGATTGCTATATACATTACATACATACAAAGCCCAAGCGATCGTATATAGCCAAGTCCATATTCATTTCAATCGCTACCTGATAAGTTGAGCTTGGACATTGAGGAAACCAATGTTCGCAGAATTAATAGACTTGGTATGGTTACGTTATTCATTAGATGGCGCAATCTTGTTTCGTAGTAGCATCACTTATATTTAATAGTTCAACAGAATTCATTGCATTTGTTGGCATAGCGAATAGAAAGTCTGAAATGAATGAAATTGTGATTTATGAGTTTTCATAGAGTAATTTGAATGTTTGTGTTGAATGAATTAAATCCTAGTAACCAAACTTTCAAATAGTTGATTTGATGAAAACTTTTTTATGCTTCAGAGATTTTGAAAATAAATTTACTGATAAGCATCAAAAAAATTTTGATTTCTCGTACAAATCACATTTGTGATCTGATCTTCAAAAGATTTTTTTGTTACATGTATAATGCTACTGTTGATCCTTATTGTTATTTGCAAAAAAACACAAAAGTCTCACGAAGATCCCTCAACGCCATCTCCCCCAGGCTCTTGCGTAGCGTGAAGGTGGGTTGCGCAGAGCCTATGAACCAGCAGTAGGATGCGTTCCGTCTATGGTTGTCATATTGCAAATTTGATATTTATATCAAAAATAGGGATACTTGGATTTCACTTGATAAAAATTGTGGGTTTGAAAAATTATGAATTTCACTTGATTGGCTAAAAATCTAACGTCATCACGATCATCATCAAAAATAAACTGTACCGGAAAACACAACAACGGGTCACACAAAAAATTAAAGCGATGTGTCATGGAAAAGAACTCAATGAACGTCAAAACGGGGAAATGATTACGGCAAAAAAAACTAGGTATGCAAATAATGAACGACCACGAATTCTTGACACATTTACACGCAAACAACTCAAGCTTTCAGTGGTCCAAATAATAATACCCGTCAAACTCTTTCTCAAATACGTTTAAACTATATAAACAAAACTATCTCTACACAAACTATTCATAATGAATTAGCTAAGAAAGAAGTTCATTCGTGTGTTCCTCGTCTCAAACCACTAATATCCGAAGTTGATAAAACCAACCGTTTTTCTTAGGCAGTCGCTTATGAACACTGGACAGTAGAAGACTTTAAAAAATCATTTGGCCAAATAAATCTACTTACACACAGCTTCAAACTTCGAGTTTTGGACGCGTGTGAATCATCAGAAGAGTTCCACAAAGATTATATTGCGGCCACAGTCACGTAATGTTAGTCGCATGTTCTGGGGATTTTTTCCTGGATTGGTTTGGATCCACTAGTTCTTTTGGTTGGTCATGTTACTGATGCTACGCACTGCGAGATTCTTGTTAATTATGCAATTCCCATGATTAAATATCATGCAAGAAAATAAAAAATTTTTCTTTCAAGGGGATAACGCGCGCCCGTTCACACTGCAAAAGTCGCTCGTTCTTTCCACGCCTCCTCAAACGTAGAGCTGCTCCCTTGGCTGACCCAAAGTTCTGATCTTAATCCCATAGAAAATATTTAATCATTTATTGTGGTTAAAATTCGTCGACATGGTTCACGGCCTTCAAGCATTGCACAATTGGTTAAGGAGGAATGGGATGCGGTACCGGAGAGTTATTATCGCAATTTAATCAAATCTATGCCACGACGGGGTTCAAGCTGTATATTGCAGCGAATGGGATCAAATGAAGCACTAATTTGTACAAAAATGTCCAATATTCCCGGTAACTCACAATTTTACTATGATAGCTATCTTTCGACCTCTAAGTAAAAAATACTCGGCATGAAACTTAAGATACAGTATATTGATAACTTTTCGAAAACAGGTCAATGAAATTCGCATGTTACACACGTAACTTGCGATTGATTGATCACTCGTGTACAGTATCGCCCGGCCCGGTCAAAAATTATATAACGATAATAAACCATAAAATGAAAATTTTCGAGTTATAAATTTTTATATCATTATAAAGTCAATCAATTGTATTTTTGAAAAATGAACAAGACTTATGGAACTTTTAAAACGAAAGAACTGTTTTAATTATAAAATCAACAAAAAATTTTTATATGTATTTTATTATATAATTTTAAATCGGGCGATACTTTTTTTGGGGGGGGGGGTACTGTCTGTACGCGTAATCACGATCAGTTGAATTTGACCGGTTATCTGATCAATTCACCGATCTGTCAAATTTTCAACATACAGCAATTAAAAATAAGAATATACAGATAAAAAGCAGATAATGAATGATAATTATACGTGAATATTTTATCGGCATGTAATATATTCGTTTATAATACATTTGAACGGTCAATTCTAATAAAAACAAGTTAGCAAATTAGAATATCTTTAGTTGATAAAAAATTTATCTATCTCGTAAAATTACATTAATTATAATAAAATACATTTATAACAATTAACATTTATTATAACGATCCTTTTGAGCTATCGTTATATCCAGACTGTAGTTTTTATTATTATGAAGGATACTTTGACACAAGCCCTGTGAAAAAATAATCAGGGAAAAATGGGGACGTGATATCTTGTTATCCATATTTTCAATACATACATATACTATTCGATTCGTCTAGCCTTGGCCAATCGAATGGTGGTATTCTCATCTGGATTGAACTTTTGGATCACGAGATATCGCATCCCAAAGTTGCAGGATCGATTTTTTGCTCAAAATTAAAATGGATGCATTATTTCCAAACGCACTATCATACTCTTGGTGAATTCAATGATAGTAACTTTTACAAAAATTGTCTGTGATTCATTAGATATCATGTTTCAATGTTGCTGATTTCGGAAAAAAACTTATTTTAATTTGGACTACTTAATTTAAGCATGACATCTCATAACACACCAAGCCAAATGCCACCAAATTTTGCCATATTCTATTAAATTTTAATAAATAGTAATCCAATTGGTTAGGTGAGTCATGAGATATTACTCTATTTTTAGAAAAACGGGGAAATAAGAAAATTCGTCCAGTAACCTTAGAACATGATACCTCATGATTAACGAGTCAAATAATATCATCATTCGATTCGCCATGTCTTGGTGAATTGAATGGTTCACTTTTGTCCGGATTTGATTATTGAATCATGAGATATCATGTTCTAAAGTTACTGGATAATTTTTTATTTTTTCCTTTTTTAATCCGATTTTCATCCGAAAATTTTATAATTAAACCTGTGGTTTTCCGGAACAAAAAAACTGGATTTTTGCCTTATTATTTTTTTTTATAGGGAAGGAAGCTGCAAAAATAATCCTTTTAAAAAGTTCAAACGAGATCTTTTTGCACTTGATAAATTACTAGCATCGTTGTTATATTAAAAGATATAATTATCTGTTGATATCTATAAGATTTATTATCTAAAAATTTATTTGTCAATCTGATTGTGATCAAATAATATCACTGGTCGAACAGGGTAGGTTGTCGATAAGAGCACTAGCCTTTACACGATCAATAGGTATACGCCAAGTCAAAGATTATAACCAAAATTACACGCTGTGCATTTATTCTTGGTCACTCAGTCTGGGTTTGCTTAATAAAAACTCGAGTTATTGACGATCAATTTTGTTTTTTTCGACACAAAAAATTTGGATTGACGATCTAAAGATGATTGGTTAATAAAGATATTTCACGTGGATTTATTGTTCTCCGATTTGTTAACACGATTTGTAAAGCTTAGTCTAAACTATGGGTAAAAATAGGTATGGAAATGCAACTTTTTGAAAAAATTAACTCATATTTTTTCTTTTGGGCAAAAACAAGGGGAAAATTGTAACCTTGTAATTTTTAGTATTATTTAGCCTAGTTTTTTTACCCAAGATGAAACCTACTCTTTTCGACCAGTGTTTGTATTGATTGAATACAGATCGTATCTCTTACTCTAGTTTATTGATTGATATTTATTATAAATTATTCCTCACCTTAATAATGAAGCACCATCTTTTTCCTATTTACAATGAACTCTATATTCTAGATTAATAGTGATTTGATTTGGTTGGAACAATGAACATATAATACAAAAATTTTCCTGAGATGTCAAATTGTTGCTCCTTTAATAATGATTCCCACATCAGGAACCCGGAATCAAACAAATTTCGAAAGTGTTCAACAATATAAAATCGCTTATTTAATGTTTGATTTGATTCAAATTTTAGAGGTTACCCAAATAAATTTTACAGGTCTTTACCACACGTCACATTCACGATCATGTGAACGTGAGTTTTGAGGAGAAATTTTGTATCATTCATTTTCCTCTTGCTCTTAAAGTGCTTTTTCATTACATTCATCAATAACAACAGTCATATGTGATCACCTTTTTTTATTATTCGTCTAATATGTTTTTTGGATTACATAAAGTTTTAATCATGAATTAGTGATTGGACTCGAATCAACTCGTTTTGACTCGAGTCAAGTCGAGTTATAATTTTTCTGACTCGAAGAGTACTCGAGTCAGAATACGAGTTGACTCGAGTCAGGTAATTCGAGTCAAGTAATTTACAGTGGCTCACACATGTAACGGAACACGAAATTAACTT